CCATGTAATTTTCCGTGGTTTATCATCGTTTTCCATTATTTCTGTTTGTCTTTTCAGCAGTTTCACCATTTTTCATTCAGTACATATCTTGTTTCATCGTTCACATGATTTTCTCGCATCATTCACATGATTTTTTGTCATGATTCATCAATTTCATGTTTTTTGATCATTACTCATCATTATTCACCGTTATTCATCATTGGTCGGCATTGTTTTCCATCATTGGTGATCCTCTTTCGTCATATTTAACAGCTTTCATCATTTGAATGGTTTTTCGTCAGGCGCCGTCAGGTTTCATCATGTGAAAAATTGTCAGTAATCACAGCGTGGCGTCACGCTGGCGCGTAGAGCATCCTCGAAATTCTGGGCGTAAGTGGCGACCCTCTCGCGGTTTCCGGCTCGTCGTGACGCTGGCGCGTGGAGCGTCCTCGGGATTCTGGGCGTAAGTGGCGACCTTCTCGTTGTTTTCCGCGCGTCGTGACGCTGGCGCGTGGAGCGTCCTCGAAATTCTGGCTGTAAGTGGCGACCTTCTCGTTGTCTTCCGCGTGTCGTGACGCTGGAGCGTGGAGCGTCCTCAAAATTCTGGCTGTAAGTGGCGACCTTCTCGTCGTCTTCCGCGTGTCGTGACGCTGGAGCGTGGAGCGTCCTCAAAATTCCGGCTGTAAGTGGCGACCTTCTCGTTGTTTTCGGTGCGTTGGAGCGCTGGCGCGTAGGGAATCCTTGCAGCCTCCGGCTTATAGGAAATCCTTACAGCCGCGCCTAGGAAAATCCTTTACAGCCACGCCTAGGAAAAAAGTTTCCGCCGTTGGAGTTGCTTTGTGAGCTAATTTGAAATCCTTACCGGGCCTGCATCCGTTTTTTGAAAGTCATTCTCTGTCAAAATCCTCGTCTCTGCATTCAAGTTTCCTTTTTAGGACAGCTTCTCTTCTGGCATCAGAGCCTTCCCGTGAATACTTCGGAAGCTTCTGTTAATGGTGAATGCACATGCCAATCTCGGCCAGAGAAAACTACAGGGATAGCTGTTCCTCGAGATAATCGTGGATGTCTTATGACAGGGCCCCGGGTACATGTTGGCAGTTGGTTCAGAAGGGTTTGCATCGAGCGTAGTTTCTTCACGTCGACCGTTACTGTCATACTGGAAGACACTAGGAAATTGAATGCCGAGTATGTTACAGCTGGTAATGTGTATCTTCCGTCCTGTAACCTGCTCACATCTGGCTTGTTCAGTAGGCCGGCTTGGATACCAGAAACGCTATGGCATTCAGCACCAGGGTGCCCAATCTTTCACTGAGGTGGTCTCGAAGATTGGTGAGGGCTCCTTCGGAATCATTTTGAAGTGCGAGATGCTTTGCAAGCCTGGCACCTTTGTGACGGTGAAGTTGGTCTCCCAGAAGACGGAGATGATGAGAAAGGAGATGGAGGTCCCCCGGAAACTAAATAGGGATCTCTTTAGAGGGTTGAGGATCATAGGGGTCTGTTTACATGAGGAGACGGGTGTCCATCTAACCCCAAAGCACAGTTCTGCGCTAATACTTGAGAATCAAATGGAAAAGCAAATGGAAAATTAAATGGAAACTATTTCCCTAAATAGCTGAAATTTGGTTCCTGAGTAGTATGGCGGAGTGGAAAAGATACTGGCAAAATGAAACAGGAGCTGGGCCTCATCTGGGGGTGTACAGGCCCGAAAATAGGAGTTTCCATTTCATTTTGCGTTTTCTGCTCCCTTCCCTACACAAGGTCTTGGACAAAATGCGGGACATCTCTGACCTTTGCATCTCTTCAATTGGTACTCCCTCCTACATCGAGACCAACCAAGGTTTCTGGGTCATGATGCCGTATATGAACAGGGGAGAGCTCTATGACCTCATCCGCAAGTGTGATGATAAACCGGCTTGCAAGCATTGCGGCACCTCGGTGCGCTGTAACTATCAATCACTATGAGGTTCACTAATGCAAGTACTGTTCTGGGGTGGTGGTGATGATTCCGATATTGATTATCATCATCATTGTTGCTGATTTTTTGCCGGCCATATTGGCCATCAATAGCTGAGCACAGGATTTTTGTCACTTGCTTGGCCGCTTTGCCTGATTTTGCTGCTCCCAGTGAGCGAGACAGCAAGCAACAGACATCTACTACCTCTTCCATCAGCACGTAGCCCAGTAAGAAACCCCTCATGTTTTGTCAAGGTACTGATGGCCGACGTTGCTGGGAGAAGATTGACCCACAGTACACCACGCCTCTCATCCTCTCACTCTTCCATGACGTTGTCCATGGCGTGGACATCTTGTACAAGAAGACAGGCCTTCTCAGATAGGACTATGGAACTGCAGAACCAAAGAAGAAACGTTGTCAGAAAAACAGATGGAGCTGGATTCTGTGCATCTTTCAAAGTTCAAAATCATTCTTCCTCCAAGCTGCGAAGAGTAGTTATGCATCGTTGCAATCACATCAAAATCCACTTGCTTTAAGCCCAGACTTCAGTGCTAAGACCTTGTATTTCAATTGTTTCAAGGCTTCAACCTGCGCCAGCTCTTCCAAGTCGCTTGATCAACAGCATTTCCCCCTTCAAGCTTACACTGTCCAGATCCCACATCAATTTGTAAAATTTCACCAGGGCTCTATGATGGCTGCTGCCCCATGGACTGTGAGACTCATTGTGAAACCTCGGTATAATGAAACGAGTGCCTGTTGGCATTAGGAAGAGTTTGTGTCAACATTGGGCGAAGTATCATTAACACCATAATGTTCAGATTTTCTGGGGATAATGCTGGCTACTGTTGCATGTATTCTTGCTATTGTTGGAAGCGTAGGCCCATAGTGCGAGCACCTAGCCTGTTATGTCTAGGGCCCCACAAATTCCCTTAAACCTCCCATACCTTAAAACTCATATACCCTCTCTATATATAAATATATAGGTGTCCCTTATACCAACGCCTTTTCAGGGAATACCCGGTACAACCCTTTGAAGCCATCATCTTGGGCCACTGCACGCAGGCCTGCTGCACACGGATCTGAAGCCAGAGATCCTGGGTTGCATTATTTTATTGCAACCTGGCATTTGGGGTTTAGGATTTAGGGTCATCTGTAAAAGAGAGTCATGGGGGATCGAGAGGGTTTCTACGGGTATATCACGTCTAGGGTTTAGATTTCTCAGAAATAAGGCGTTCCTTTCGGGAGTCCCTGCAAAAAAGGGATTGTTGTGTATTGAGATTGCTATTGTTCTTGAAATGCTTCTTGGGACCACCAACAGCCTCGATGCTATAACAAGCCGTAATCACCTCCCCTAGTAATCACCCCCACAGCCATCGATTATCAAATATTCATTCCCATTATAGAATAGAAATAAACCCAGTTTCCATTTCATTTTGCATGTGATTTTCCATTTTCTTAAGAGGGTGTTTATGCGGGAGTGGATTAATATGTGAATTGCTCTGGCTCAACACAATTGGGGGTTTCCCAAACACAATAGAAGAATTAAATGGACAAGCAAATAGTACCAATGTATTATATTTGTTATTGTGCATCACTGCTATGGTTCTGATTTTGTTGACGAAGGCTATAGCCTTTGCCACTGATGCTTGCTCTCGTTCATGTGGTCATAAACTCACGGCTGTCATTGTGATGAGCATTACTTCCAAAATTTATGGTTCCCGACCTGACCCCGTTAACCCTTGTGCCTAAAGCTCCTATGATTCGATGATTGCCCACACACATCTCGTCGTATTCCTGCCAGTAGTTCTGCAACCCTCATGGTTCTCAGCATCACTCATATGTAATGAATCCAGAAGATGTGTTGTTCAGCCCTGCTTTTTTTTAAGAATGCTGGGGGCCACTCCTGCTGTCATTGTAACAGACTTGTGAATTCTGATGCGTTGTTGAATTCCTACTTTTACGGTCGCTGCTGCGATATGTGGGGTGTCATTGGGTACTTAGTTTCCCCGAAAGCGCCACAGTCTACACAGCACGTACACCGCTCGCAGACACCACGACATCTGCACCGCTGACATACACCACGCTACAGTCTATACCTACACCACAGCACCTACACCGCTGACATACACCGCGCTACAGTCTATACCTACGCCACGGCACCTACACTGATCAAATACACAACGCCACCGTCTAAACGGCCCCTATACCGCTCGCAGACATCCTACACCCCTCACCCACGCCTTCTATGTTCTCTTATTTCTAAAGCCGGGGTAGGTTTGTCGGGAATCGTCGGGGCGAACCCTCTGCAGGTTTCGTGCTTGTCGGAGCGCTCCCGTTGTGGCGCCAAGCCAATTTTAAAGCTCGTTTGCCAACCCTCTGCGGGTTTGGTGCGTGTCGAATCGCTCCCGTTGTGCAAATTCTTAAGCTGAACGGCGAACCCTCTGCTGCGTGTCGAATCGACCGGCCAACCCTCTGCGGGATCGTTCCTGTCGAATCGCTCTCGCTGTGGCGCCGTNNTTGCACGGCGCCACAGCGAGAGCGACAACGTCGCCTCTTGGAGCGTCCTCAGAATTTTGCTCGTAATCGAGGACCCTCTCGTGGTTTTCGGCGGGTGGCGGCGCTGGCGCGCGGAGCGTCCTCAGATTTTTTTTGTGATCGACGATTCTCTCGTGGTTTTCGACGGGTGGCGACGCTGGCGCGTGGAGTGTTTTCAGAATTTCGTAATCAACGACCCTCTCGCAGCTTTCGGCGGGCGGCGACGCTGGCGCTTGGAGCATCCTCAGAATTCTGCTCGTAATCAATGACCCTGTCGTGGTTTTCGGCGTGTGGCAGGGCTGGCGCATGGAGCGTCCTCAGGATTCTGCTCGTAATCGACGACCCTCTCGTGGATTTCGGCGGGCGGCGGCGCTGCCGTGTGGAGCGTCCTCAGGATTCTGTTCGTAATCGACGACCCGCTCGTGGTTTTCGGCGGCGGCGGTGCTGGCGCGTGGAGCGTCCTCAGGATTCTGCTCGTAATCGACGACCGTCTCGTGGATTTCGGCGGGCGGCGGCGCTGCCGTGTGGAGCGCCCTGAGAATTCTGTTCGTAATCGACGACCCTCTCGTGGTTTTCGGTGGGTGGCGGCGCTGCCACGTGGAGTGTCCTCAGGTTATTTTGTGTAATCAACGACTCTCTCGTGGTTTTCAGCGGGTGGCGGCGGTGGCGCGTGGAGCGTTCTACGAATTCTGTTCGTCATCGATGACCGTCTCGTGGTTTTCGGCGGGTGGCGGCGCTGGCGCGAGGAGAGTCCTTTGAAGTCATGCTGGAATCGATGACCGCCGCTCACGCACACCAAGACACCTATACACTGCCCACATACACCTTGGCACCTACATCGCGCCAATACACCACGGCGCCTACACGCCGACATACAGCACAGCGCCTACACCGTGCACATACACCACAGCAACTACACCGCACCAGCACACCACGGCGCATACACCGCCCACCACCGCCCGCCACAACGCCTAAACTACCCACATACACCGCAGCCACTACTCCGCACCAGTGCGCCACGGCGCCTACACTGCCCACATACAACACGGCACCTCGCACATACGCCTCAGCAATTACACAGCACCAGCAGACCACGCCGCCTACACCCCCCACGTACAGCATAGCACTTACACCGCACCACGTATACACCACACCACCTACACCGCGCACGTACACCACAACAGTTACACCGCACTGCGACCGCGGCACCTAGAACACTGCCAGATACGCATCCTTTGCTCACGTGGAACTGATTGCCTTTAGGATAATCGGGGTCCAGCTTTGATTGGTTTGGCAATAGGCTTAGATAATATGATTTTCTATGAAGTTCACAGCAATGCAGGAACGCCATGATCAACTGCCAGGGCTTCAAATGTTTCGCCGCCGTCATCGACCTGGGGTGCGTTTGCAACCCGAAGGCTTCGAACAATGACTTTGTAGGCAAAATCTGCTGTTTTGGAGATGGGCTAGAATGTTTCCTTCTCAGCTGTTGTCTTTGCGCTTCGCACGGGCTAGTGGCAGAATTGTTTTTCAGTGTACAGTATGTCCTCCAGCAATACAGCATAGCATTGTACAGCAAAGCCTACGTCTGGGTTGGGTTGTGTAAGAACTGTATCACATGGTTGCGGCCCAACGTAGATGCCTTTCAAATCCAAGCAGGGCCCCATCAACCAACCGGAGAACCGCACAGCACAAAACCGCCATGTGTCAAAGTCCATTCTGTGTCTCACTGGCACGCCAGGATCCTGACGAGTGTGGCCTTCAGGGAACGCCTGGTTATATTCCTCCAGAAGTTTGGGAGGAGACAGACGAAACTGCTGGCAAGACATCAGCACGAGATGTATGGGCGCTGGGTGTCATACTGTACCAGCTCCTGTGGCTTTGTTTGCATACAAAAAAAGTTGTGAAACAGGAGTTCAAGTCATTGGCAACAATGGCAGCATGAACGGCGCCAAAAAGGAAGAAAGCAAACACCAGCAGATGAAAAGCGAGCAGAAGACAAAGAAGATCAGAAAGAGAGCAGGAGCAAAACGAGCGATATCAACAACAGCAACCACAACGGCGACGACAGCAACAGCAACGGTGACGGCAGAAGCAACTGCAACAGCAGCAGCGGCAGCAGCAGCAACAGGAGCAGCAGCGTCAGCAGCAGCAGCAGCAGCAGCAGCCACAACAACAGCAGGCATGACCACAACAGCAAAAGCACCAAGATGTCATTGTCACCAAAATAATCACCAGTAGCATCATCTTAATCCGCATCATCATGATAATAATCCACCGCGTCGTCGTGCTGCTCTTCCTCATCAACATCATGCGCATTACGCGAATTATGTTCACGCTATTCACTGTCAGCATCACCATTGCTACTTCGCATCAGTGACGTCTTTCAAGATATGCCAGTAAAAGCATCCTATCTGTATGTATCATGCAGTAAAGTTGGCACCATTCGCACACTTTGTGAGGTACGCAGAGCGTCCTCCGTTCTACGCAGATAGCTTTGGGTTCTCCACCGGAATGTACGATTCCACAGATGACCCGAACATACCGACGCCGCGAACACGGATTGATGAGCTTGTCATTCAGATGCTCGCTCACGATGCAGCCAAGCGGCCCAGCCTCGCCAAAATCATGATGACGCTGAAGCAGGTCGTCGTCTATGACTTCCCCGAATCTGGTGACCTCCGTCCACTGCAGAACCTTAGAGTTCAACAGACGTTATCAATAAATTTGCATGCATGTGCACACGTATGCATGTATTGTATGTAGCATGCATTGGTAGAAGAGCCGCCGCTTGATATGCTGTCGATTTTGGAAAGAAACCCAGGAATCTTGCCCTGTCCCCCACAGAGCGGAATGCCAGCAAGGGCGTTCCACTCTGTCTGTCCGACATTCGCCCTGAGCAAGTTGGCCACAGAGGCTGTAGGATTGAGGGTTACTTCGTATTTTTAAGGATAATGGTTACCAGTACACCATGCAAGACAAACAAAGTAGATCCCATGGAGAGTGTTGCGCCTCGTGGTCCTTTGTCTCGCTCCAAGTTCATTTTGCATTTCACAACCTTCCCGTTGAACAAATGAAACCACAAGTGACCAATGCGTCATTAGGAGTGCGCTCATTGGGTCCTTGTAATAGGGCTTATGATATTTCGGATTATTTGAGAAGCCCCCTTAGTTTTAGAAATGTTTTTCGCACTTGGGATGTTGCAGGGCATGTGGCTGATCTCGTGGAACCGGTGGAGGAGGATCAGTTCGATCCATGGAAGGCTGGAGTTTTGGGCATGTAACTGTGCGTTGCAACGTTATGGGAAGAGACAGTTGCACAACGCTACTTACATCACCAAGGTACATTCGTTTATTGTTCGTGGTCACCTTTGTTGTCTTTTGGTTCGGTGCTCTTGCTTTCATGCTTGGGCAACTTTATTTGCTCCTGATATGCACGAGGTGCAGCGCATCTGGGGAGATTGAGGCTATGCTTCGCTGCGTGGAGATTTTTCAAGTTTCCGATCCTCAAGTCAGATGCTGCGGAAATCGCACATAGGGTTTGTCAGGAGTATTTAGATGCTGAATTTTTTTCTAAGTATGGGAATGTTGCATTACGTACCCCGTTTTGGTGATAATTGTGTTGGCGATTCATAGTCATCATGCAGGAGGCCTAATTTTGACAAAACTTCTGGCTATGGAGTAGAAATCGGTCGTCCAGCTGTAGCTTTCTTTGCGAGGGCTTCTCGACAAGATTCACGAAAGCCCCTTTTTTGGAAGGAGGCAGGATCCCAAGGAACAATAAATATTTTTTACCCCAAAATATCGAGCGTCTACGTCTTCAATGAAAGTGCTCTGCTGAACTTTAGACAACATTAAATCGGCAAGATTAATAACTTCTATTCTATTACAATCACGGTCTTTAGAACGAGGGGGGATTAGAATCTGGAATACTTTTCCTTTTCCTATACGACTTTAAAATCTATAGATTTGTCATCCAATATATCCCCGCGTACCCTGCCCAAATATCGAAGCTACATTCGATCAATTTTAATCATCTTGGATTCATTTTCCAATTGATTTTGTCTATAATTGTAAAATTATATATATATTTTTTTTCAAAATAGATCACTACATGTTTAAGATGCATGAATTTTTCTTGAAAGGAATAAATGCGAATTTCTATTTTGAATTTTCTTGCTGGGATTATACGCCGATTTGCTATGAATACGAAAGATTTTTAGCTTCGCCTCTAAAGCCAGAAAAATAAAACTTCCGATGAAAGAAATTATGTTTTTTCCTATATTAAATATACTCATTCATGATTTAAATTTCGATATTGTAATTTTATAATAGAAATATAACTTATTTCTTGTTGTATATCAGCTTCTTATTTGTTATTCTCGAATTTTTTTGATTTTCTTTTCGATGAATATAAAATGAAAAGAAATCAAGAAATAGATCTTGATAATACTAAAATATATGAAGTAAAAAAAAAAAATGGTTTGGGATAAATGAATTTTCAAGATTACATATGTATCTTATGAGATGAAATATATCAAAATTGATTATTTCTTGCAAAGAAAAATTAATGGACACGATAAAGATATAAATAAGAGAATTTATTATATATATATGATAGATAGATAAGAAGATAATATATTTATATTTAGATAATTTGATTATATTTGAGATTATGAAATGAATTATTATACTATTGAAAGATTAGTTTCAAATTACGAAAAAAATGATAAATAATATTTTCGTATATATATTCGATATAAATTAGATAAGATATTCTGAAAATAAGAATGAATATTATGAAAAGATTTTTTATTCAAAAATATCATGAAATATGATCTAAATTCTTCTTTTTCTGATATATTCTTTATTTTCTTTTCTATGAATATATATTATTTTTTTCTTTTCTATTTATTATCTCTTCATTTTATATTTATGAATATTTTCTCTCTATTCTTCTTTTCTTCTGCTTGCTTCGCTCAGCTATAATACGTAATGATATCGAAATAATATATTTCGAATTTACGATTGATAATAAAATTTTTTTGAATGTTATTACGATTTATCGAAAGATTTTATAATATTCATTTTAGAATATTATATAATTGAATAATTTATTATATAGATATAGTTCGTTCTTCTAATCGTAATTTATTTTCTCAAATTTTTTTGATTAGAATAATATTACTTAATAGGTGAGGCCTAGATAGGAGAAAAAAGGGAATTCCAAATTTCGCCGTGATTACATATTTAAAGAGGTCGATATTACTTAATATATATATATCATATTCGGATTTATAAAAAAAGATAAATAGGAGCTACTAACTTGAATGTATTACGTACGTATAATGATATAAACATTTCACGAGCGAATTAGCTTCGGAGATTTATATTTTATCTCTTTTTCTTCTTTCTCTATTTTCTATCTTTCTTTTTCTCTCGTTCTCTTCGTCTCTTTTTTTTTTTTTTTTTTTTTTTTTTTTTTTTTTTTTTTTTTTTTTTTTTTTTTTTTTTTTTTTTTTTT